TTTCTTCTATATTTTCTATTGCAAATATACAGGGTCTCAGGGGGTTAAATTGGTCGTTGGGGCTACCCTGGAAACCTGAGAAGCATTTATAACATTGTACTATGAGTTCCAAGGGCTGACAAAAAAGCTTTTGAAAGACAAGCCCTTTGTAAGCAGGGGACAGCTTGTACCTTGAATGGTTGCTGTCAAGGCTTAATGTTTCAGGGAAGGGAGAGAGGAGGGTCAGGTAGTGACATCAGGCCCCTGGCTGCTGCAGCCGTAAGGCTGCTCTTTGAAGGCTGTGGAAGGAGACGGCAGGGCAGTGACACAGAATAATGGTCCTTGCCGGTTCCTCCTGGGCTCTCTAGGCCCCAGGAGTAATGGCAGCTAAAATTATAGTCACAGATGGTGGGACCAGAAGGGGCCTTAGAACACATAGTGTCAGAGCTGGAAAGGGCTGAGGAATATGGAATGTCAGAGATAGAAGGCATCTTGGAACAGTAGTGTCCAACTCAAAACAGAAACAAGGCCACTAAACCTTATACAAAGATTCCTTAAAGCTGCTGCATATTGACTTGGTGTGGTTCGTTTTCAGTCATTTCAGTCTCGTCTGACTCTTTGTGACCCCATTTGGGGTTTTCTTGGCAAAGATACTGGAGTGGCTTGCTATTTCCTTCTCCAGCTCATTTTACAGATGAGGAAATTGAGGCAAACAGGGTGAAGTGACTTGCCCAGCATCACACAGCTAGTAAGCGTCTCAGGCTGGATTTGAACTCAGGAAGATGAGTCTTCCTGACTCCAGGCCCAGTGGTCTGTCCATTGTGCCACCTAGCTGCCAAATATTGACTTAGAAAACCACATATTAACATTATCAATGTTTAATTGTATTTTTACTTATCTTATTTCCCAACTATTTTAATCTGATTCAGTTGGGTGGGCTGGGTATTTGACACTTCTGAGTTAGAAATGTCAGAGCTGGGAGGGGCCTTAGAACACAGAATGTCAGAGCTGGAAGTGATCTCAGAATGAAAAGACTCGATAAGGAACATAGTAATTGCCTCTAATCCTTCCTGTGGGAGTGGGGTGAGTTGTGGAAACTCCTCTCCTTCCTTCTCACCCAAGCACACACATAGGAAGGGCTGGAGGGCAATTCCCCTGAGATTCTGGCACCCCTCACTTTGCCCCAGCTGTTCCCTTCTCAGGCCCCCCCCAGGTACCCTCCCTAAGGATTTGGGGGGAGTTCACCCAATGCAACTTTTTAGGGGACAAAACTTCCTCCGTATCCTGAAAAAGTATCAGACTTTGCTCCAGTCCCAGCTCTACCACTTCCACATGTATGGCTGTGGGCAAATCCCCCTTTGTCAGTTTCCTGTCGTAGAATGAAGGAAGGAGTGGATAATCTGTGAAGTCCCTCATGGACATCTTATCTATGAATCCCATGGTTGTCCTGGGGGACTCCTACCCTGCCCAGCTAGGCCAGTCCTCGTGTGATTTAAGGACTCCAGGGAGCAGAAATAGAAATACTCAGGTAACAGAACCTGAGCTGCCTCCCCTCCCTCCTAATTTCCCTGAGCTCCTCCAGAATGAGGGAGTCTTTAAAAGAGGGCCAAGGATGTTTCTACAGCAGTGATTCAAGCTACGGGCATTTGAAGGGGGTGGGGGTGGGGCGGTTAGGATACTTGTATAATTCTGCTTTGGACTTGAAAATTAACTTCCTGCCCTGGCCACGATACCTTTCACTCTGCTGGGCTAATAATCGTCATAGAGGGAGAGTTGGAAAGGAACTCAGGGGCCGTGAAACCCAATCCCCTTATTTTACAGATGAGGAAACTGAGCCTCATGTGAGGTTAAATACGTTGCCTCCATGAGGGGCCAGAATTCCTTTGGTCTCTGCTCTACCCTGGACATCAAGTGAGTCCCACTTCCTAGACAGTTCTGGCCTTGAGGCGCCTTCTCCCCAACCCCAATTAGGGAGGTACCCACGAACCAGGGGTCACATTACTCAGGCTACCGGTCCTGATCTTCCCTGCTTGACTCTTAACCTTACCCTCAGGAAGTCACGGATTGCAGAACTTGAGAGTTGAGCCTCCCCACCACCTGGGAATTCTTAGATTTGCACAAGCTTGTTGAGGGTGGAGGTGTTTATTTGTGCTTTCCTTCCTCTCGCCTTGGAACACTTGGGCTATAAAGATGCAGATTCATTAATGAACATGAGTAAGACAAATCTCTTTCAGCCACTTTGATATCAAAGAAAGTTGACTAACTTGCTGTCTGACCTTAAGTCAATTTCACCAGTTTGGGATTTAATGATCCCATGTCTCAGATGGAAGGATTGCACTTCATGATTTCTAAGGTTTTCTAGCCACTGCCAAACTTCCGATTCTAATATTCTAAGTTCTAAGGCTCCTCCTAGATCTGGCATTCTAATTTCTGAGGCCCTTTCTAACTCTAACATTCTAGATTCTAAGACCCCTCTAGGTCTGCCATTCTATGTTCTAAAGACCCTTCTGGTTCCGACATTTTATGTTCTAAGGTTCCTTCTAGCTCTGACAGTTTATGTCCTAAGGCTCCTTCCAGTTCTAATATTCTGTGTCCTAAGGACCCTTCCAGCTATGAAGTTCTGGGTTCTAAGGCCCTTCTTAGCTCTGACATCCTGTGTCCTAAGGACCCTTCCAGCTCTGACATCCTGTTTTGTTTTGTTTTGTTTTGTTTTAAGGCAATTGGGGTTAAGTGGCTTGCCCAGGGTCACACAGCTAGTAAGTGTCAAGTGTTTGGTCTGAGGCCGGATTTGAACTCAGGTCCTCTTGACTTCAGAGCCGGTGCTCTATCCACTGTGCCACCTTGCTGCCCCCATCCTGTGTTCTAATGGCCCTCCCAGCTCTGACATTCTGTGTTCTAAGGGCCCTCCCAGCTCTGACATCCTGTGTTCTAAGTTTCTTTCCAGCTCTTAGTGTACTTAAGGTTCCTTCTAGCTCTGACATTCTGTGTTCTAAGGACCCTTCCTGCTGTGAAGTTCTGGATTCTAAGGCCCTTCTTAGCTCTGACATTCTGTGTCCTAAGGACCTTTCCATCTCTGACATTCTGTGTTCTAAGGGCCCTTCGAGGTTTGATATTCTGTTTTCTAAGGTCCCTTCTAGCTTTAACATTCTTTGTTCTAAGGTTCTTTCTAGCTCTTAGTGTACTTAAGGTTCCTCCTAGCTCTGACATTCTATGTTCTAAGGACCCTTCCAGTTCTGACCTTCTGTATTCTATGACACTTCCCAACTCTGACATTATCTGTTCTAAGGTATCTTCCTGCTGGGATCTTCTAAGGTCCTTTCTCAGTCTAGTAATTTATGTTCTAAGATTCTACTACATCTACTACAATCTACTACTATGTTTCAAAATTTCAAAGACTCTCAGAATTGGAAGAGTCCTGTCTGTCAGAGGTAAGAGGACTGCCTGTCTCTCTTATCATAACATCCTTAAATAGTAGCCTTGGTTTGCTCTCAGGGGTGTTACGGGATCATTAGGCAAGTCCTACCTTAAATAAAGGGCCTGGATACATGGGGAATCTTTCCATTTGTCACTTGACTGATGAAAATGACCTGAAATAGTGGTTAAATATTAATGAGAAGTTGATAAGGATGTTGACAGGTGGAGCTGCATCAGCAGCAGAGGGAGGGAGCAGAAGGAAGTTTATCTGGGAGGGAGAAGCTTATCTTATGTCCCTTGGGAGAGGAAATTGGCCTCGCCCCACAGTCCGAGGGTCTGATCCTCTTTTTCAGTGATGTGCAGATAGGGCTCAGAGAGAGTCTTCGAAGGGCAGGAGGTGAGCAGCAGCTCTAGCATGGTCATGCTTAACTCCCTCATGATTCCCCCTCTTTGCGATCCTCAAGCCTCATTGAGAGGAGGAGGGGGAAGAAGGGGAGTGGATGGGGCACTGAGTTTTAGCTTCCTCTCTGGGCCCCAGCTTCTTCCTCTGGGAAATGAAGGGAGTGAACTAGAATTGGAATTTTGCAAACCTCCCCCACCCTAGCTCCATATCCCAGACCATCATGAAAATCTTGTGTTTCTAAGATTCTAGTCCCAGCTCTGGCATTAATTTTCATAGCTATTAACATGTAGATAATGCTTTAAGATCTGCAAAGTGTTTTGATGTTATGTCATTTGATTTTTACAGTAACCCTATAAAAGATGCTGTTATTATCCTCATTTTTATTGTTGTTGAATTGTTTAAGTCGTGTCCAACTCTTCAGTTCCTTATTTGGGGTTTTCTTGACAAAGATCCTGGAGTGGTTTGCCATTTCCTTCTCTTGGTCATTTTACAAATAAGGAAACTGAGACAGAGTTAGGTGACTTACCCAAAATCGCACAGCTAGTGCCTGAGGCCGGATTTGAACTCAGGAAGAGGAGTCTTCCTGATGCAGGCCTGGCACTCTATCTACTATGCCACCTAGCTGTCCTTAAGCAGGACAAAGCATTCAGACAAAAGATCTTATTCCATTACAAGTATTTATTAGGTGCCTATTATATGTCTGGTATTGTTCTAGATGCTAGAGATACTAAGATTAAAAAAAAAACAGCCAAAGTTTCTGCCCTCAAGAAACTTACAATCTACTGGAGGCAGGGTACAAATACAACATATACCCAAATAAATAAATGTAGAAGATATAGAAAACAATATAAATTAATTTTAAGAGGAGGAGATCATTAAAAACTAGGAGGAATCGTTAGATCATAGATTGGAAGGAACCAACCTTATATGTCACCTAGTCTATTATCTTCATTTTATAAGTGACTTGCCTCATGTAGGAGAGGGGGGTGGGGAAGAGGGGGAGAAGAGTCAGTGATTCCTCCAAGGCTGTGAACTAGAATTATTGGAAAGATGATTTGCTGTTGTTGGTTAGTTATTTTCAAATGTGTCCAACATAACCCCATTTGGGGTTTTCTTGGCAAAGACACTGGCGCCGTTTGCCATTTCCTTCTCCAGTTCATTTTACAGATGAGGAAACTGAGGAAAACAGGGTTATAAAGTGACTTGCCCAGGGTCACACAGCTAGTAAGTGTTTCAGATGTTTCTGACTCCAGGCCTGGCACTCAATCCACTGTGTCACCTCACTGCTGAGGAAAATGGTATCCTGGACAAAATCTGGAAAGTTTTGAGGAAGTAATGATATTGGGAAGTACAATGAGTTCTGTTTTGAACCTGTCTATTGTGAAACACCTGTAGTGATGGATTACTTAGGTGGAGATGTCTAGGAGGCAGTTGGGGTTGTGGGTCTGGAGTTCAGAAGAGAAAATTGGACTGGATATATTGATTTGGGAGTCATTTGCATAAAGATGAAAACTGAACCCATGATGAAATCACCAAACTGATAAGCATGTAAGTGCTAGGCACTGGGAATAGAGAATGAAACAGTCCCTGCCCTCAGAAAACTTACATGGAGGGGCAGGGGTGGAGAGGACACATGTATACATATGAATATAAGTGAATTATAAACAAAGTAAATACAAGGTGATTTTTTGGCTTGGGAGGGGAAGAGAATGTATGTAGCAGAGAGAAGAGTTGATAGTATATGCAGAGTGATGAAGAAGGTTGAAGACTGGATTTGGCAAATTCAAAAGAAATGTGGTCATTTTACAGGTGTAGTCTCAATGAAGCAAACAGGTAGGAAGAAAGCTAGATTGTGAGTGACTGAGATGTGATTGTTAGGAGAGGCAGTGGAGGCCATGAATGTAGGCAGGATGGGTATGTTTGCAGGCAGCCAGTATCTAGGAAGAGATTGTATGGGAAAGACAGACTATGGTAGTGGAATCTAAACCCTCTTAGGAATGGGTGTGGGGGCTGCCAAGGTCATTGGAATTGGAGAAATGGGGCTCAGGGGCTTAGGGGTGGGGTCCATCTTCTTCTTATAAGAACCCTTTCTCTTCAGGTTCTTCTCCCCTAAAAGGGGTGGAGCTCCCCAAGGGCAGGGGCCGTCTTCCTTTTAAGTATGAAGGCACCCTGAAGATTGGAGCTGTGTCTATCTCCTCAGACTGGAGATCCATGGGAGGACCTGCCTCCCTCCTTTAGACTGGGGACCTTCCTGCGGGCAAAAGCTGTTTCCTCCCTCAGACAGAGGGCTCTCTGGGGATAAGAGCTTCATGTCTGTTTGCAGAGGGCTCCTTGAAGGCAGGGGAGCATTGCCCTCCTAAGCAGGGGGGCACCCTGGGAGGCTCCTTCAAAGTGGAGGCTGTGTCTGTCTCCTCAGACTAGGGGCTGTCTTGGAGGACCTGTCTTCCTCCTCAGATTGAAGGCAGGAACTGTCTCCCCTTTCGGATGGGGGATCCCTATAGGCAGGGACTGTCTTCCCTCTCAGACTGAAGATCGCATGAGGGCAAGGACTATGTCCACCTGTCTCAGACCAAGGGTTCCCCAAATGCAGATAGGGAGAGCCTCTAAAGTAGGACCGTCTTCCTTCTCAGGACTGAGATTTCTGGGAGGTCAGGAATTGTGTTTCCTTTCTGTGACTGCAGTCTCCTTGAGGACAGAAGCTGTGTTTACCCTAATATAAATGGGGGCTTCTTGAGGGCCAGAGCCATGACACAGGGTGACCAGCAGGAGGTTCTGCCCCGGGCTGTATTCCAGGTTGGGGAGAGCCACAATGGCTGTCAGAGCACAATGAGGGTGCTGCTCCCCGCCATACTTTCCTTCAGGGCTCCCACTGTACTGTGAGGTCCAAATCTCTAAAGAGCAAATCAAGCTCTGTAGACTGCCCTAGGCAGCTCCCCTCAGGTCCTGGAGGAGGAACTTCATCCCTGGGACATACTACAGAATCTAGCAGGCTCCAGGCTCCCTCAGTCTGTTTCCTGGGCTGAAATAGGAGGGAAGGGGTGGAGGAGAGGAGGGAAAAGGGATGGTCTTCCACCTGGACAGAGGAAAGCAAAGAGGTTTGGTTGCTTAAGTATCCTGGAGCTATTGATTCCAGTGAACCAGTTGGGTGAACCAGGGGCAGGGCTGGGCTGGGTGGTTGTTCTCTCTGGAGTCCTGGGAATTGATGAAAGAATTCTCTGGAAATCTCCTGGCATTCCTCTGTCTGGGAATTTGGCAACAAGGGTCCAGCTGGGTTCTGCTTGGCCTGAGGTTGGCCCATTGTCCCCTTGAAACATCTGCGGTTCAAAGCCTGTTGTGGGGACATTTGTCCCCCTGAGATCTCCATACAGGCTCCATAAGATGGGGGCCATGGATAAGGGAGGGCTTGAGGAGCATAGGATGAGGGCTCTGTCTCAGGAGCCACTTGTGGGGCATAAGAAGGTGGTCCCACCTCTGGAATTGACTGAGGGGCATAGGATGGTGGGGCAAGTGCCTCATGAGCCAGGAGGACAGGGATGGGTATCTCACTCTGTCCAAGGTAAGTGATCTCAGGCAAGCCAGGGGGCAATGGAGCTCCTAGGGGCTCCCTGGCCCCAGGTATCTTCACCTGGGAGTATTGGATTGGAGGGACCAGGCCCCCAGAACTGCTGAAGTCGATGGCTGGGATCAAGATATGCTCCTGAATGAATCTCAGTGGCTGAAAGGTCAGCACTCTCTGGACATCCTGTGGAGAAGCAAGGACATTGAGGCAAAGTTTAGTGCTGTGGGCCATTGATTCCACAGGGGGTATGGTTGACACTTTGGGGTTCTCCAAGGATGCATCTCAAGGACAGAGATGAAGAGTTGGAAGGAACCCTGGAAGTCATGGAGCTCAACCCTACCCCCTCACGTTACAGATGAGGAACCTGAGGCTCAGAGAAATGAAGGGAGTTGCCTAGGCTTATGCAGCTAATGAGTGGGAGAAGTGGGATCTGAACCCAGGTCTTCCTGACTCCAAGTCCAGTGTTTTCACCACACTGACTCTGATGGACCTGCACTACCTTTGGTGCCCCTCCCCCCTCTCTAACCCATCCTGCACAATCTGCCATGTTGATCCTCCCCAAACTATCTGAGCATTTCAGCCCCCCTACTCAAAAGTCTTCACCGGCTTCTCATTGCATCTAGAATAGAATATAAACTGTTCAACCTAGGACTTAAAGCCTTCCACAATCTGGCTCAATTTACCTTCCTAATCATTTCATAAAAATTTCTTCCCTATATTCTTTATTCTAGTCAAACTAGCCTGCTAGCTGTTAGTAATTATCATCATCATCATTATCATCATTAGATAGGTGGCATCTTTATAGTATTTTAAGGTTTGAGAAGCATTTCACAAGTACTATTTCATTTGATCCTCACAACAATATGGGAGGTAGGTGCTATTCTTATTCCCATTTTACAGATGAGAAAACTGAGGCTGATAGAAGTTAAGCAACTTACTCAGGGTCACCCAGCTAGAAAGTGTCTGAAGTGGGATTTGATTGTTTTTTTTAAAGGCAATTGGGGTTAAGGGACTTGCCCAGGGTCACACAGCTAGTAAGTAGCAAGTGTTTGGTCTGAGGCCACATTTGAACTCAGGTCCTCCTGACTTCAGGGCTGTTGCTCTATCCACTGAGCCATCTAGCTGCCCCTGAGGTGGGATTTGAACTCAGGTCTTGGACTTCAGACCCAACATACTTTCCAGTGGGCTACCCAAATGCTTGCCCATGATACTCCATGTCCCACATTGTGAGCTTGATGTACAAACAGTCCCTGATTAATGTAATGCAAGCTTACTTACTATTTCCTCTTAGAATTCCAAGCTTCCTTTAGGGCTCAGCTTAAGTACCACGTTGATCCCCTAGTGCCTTCCCCTCAAAATTTTGGATGTCCTATGTGTGTATGTGTTGTTTCTTCTTACTAGAGTGTAACCTTTCACTTTTCTCTTTGTTTTCCAGAGCCTAGGATATAGTAGGCACTTAATAAATGCTTTTTGATTGATAACTTGTGTATATGTTGTATCCTCTCAGTAAAATGTAAGCTTCTTGAGAGCAGGAATTATTTCATTTTTTGTTTTTGTATTCCCAGCATTTAGCAGAATATCTGGTATACAGAAGGAATTTAATAAATGTTTATCAAATTGAATTGACACATGGTTAATGAAAGGCAAAGCCAGGACTAGGACCAGATAGATTATTAGCCTCCAAGCCAAGTGAACTCTTCTACACCACATTGTGTGAGAATTGCCTGAAAGGATAGAAAAACGGATCATCTCTGAGCTGCTTCCATATTCTTCAATGCCTGGACACAATTCTTGACCACCTCACTGACTTCTGCATACTATTAAATCCCTAAACTTGCACTTTTTGTGGATTTGGATTCTAGGTTATTTGAGAGGACAAACTGGGTTAGCTCTTAAAATTCTGTATTTCAAGCCTAGGGTCTAAGGGAGAGCCAAGGGGTCCTTGGGTCCCCACTGTCTCTCTGTAAGCTGTAGGCCCTTCCCCTGGAGACACCCACCCTCATTCTCCCACCTCATTTCCCAGGGCCGCAAGGTCTCTCACCAGTGAATTGGGCTGCTTAGGAGGCTTCTTGACATATCGGTAGCTCAGGTAACAAAACACAGCTACAAAGAAGCCCATGGCAAACAGGGACACCCCTGAGAAGGAATACATCCATGTCCAGTCTGGGCAAAGAAAGGAAGACAGATATGGGGAAGAAGGTGAATGGTTAGGTGTAGGGACTTCCCATTTTGGAATTCTAAACACCTGTGACCAACCTTTCTTTCTCTAACCCCTCTTCCCTTCCCTTTCCTTCTTTTCTCTTCCCCTCTTTTCCCTTTTCTTCCTTTCCCTTCCCTTCCCTTCTCTTCCCTTGCCTCCTTCCTTCCTTCCTTCCTTCCTTCCTTCCTTCCTTCCTTCCTTCCTTCCTTCCTTCCTTCCTTCCTTCCTTCCTTCCTTCCCTCCTTCCTTTCTTCCTTCCCACCTTTCCTCTTAGAACATCTTGTGCCTTAAAGGCTGTACCCTCAGAGAGACAAGGGTAGAGTCTATGTGGGTGTGTGTGGGTGTGGAAATGCTTTACATTCCATGGCTTTCACATTCTAAGAGTCCTTCCAGTTCTGTCACTCTGTGTCCCAATGGTCCTTCCTCCTTGAATGCTCTATTTTCTAAGGTTCCTCCCAGCCCTGACAGTTCACTTCCAAAAGGCCACCTCTGGCACTTGCATATTCTAAGGGCCCTTCCAGCTCAGATATTCTATATTCTGAGGCTCCTTCCAGCTTTGACATTCTCTGCTTGTGAGAGAATACAGGACTACAAGTTCAAGGGACGAGAGGATCCAGAATTTCAGGGCTTTTCAACCAACTGTACAATCATGATGCCTCCTATCTAGCACTGATATGCTTATATACCTGAGCCTCCTCACTCCTGGAGAAGTGGATAAAAGGGGGTTTCTCAATTTGCCAGACTGAGAACCAGCTCCTATCCATGGTGATTTCTTCAAAGTGAAGTCTGAAACCAGGGAATGGGATTAGTTTATACCTTACTCTGCAGCAAGGTAGGGTGAGGCTGATTGATGAGATTATATGTCACATACATGTTTACATACAAGCACACACACACACACATACACACACACACACACACACACACACACATATATATATATATATATATATACATATGCTTACATACATATACAGGGGAACCCAGGGACTCCTCAGCTTTCCCTGGGATTCTACAGGAAACTGCCAGCATCAACCAGAACTAGCTAGCACACAGTCAGTTAAAATCTTAGAAAGTGTGATACATCAAGGGTTAGAGGGTGTCACAAAGACAAAAATAAGCAGGCTGACTGATTATCTCTCACTTTGACCTAGTGATCCCACTACTGGGCAAGTGCCACAAGACCAAGGAGAGAAAGAAAGGTCATGTGCAGTATGTACTAATATATTTATAGCAACACTTTTTCTTGTGATAGCAAAACATTGGAAACTATGTGATTGCCCATTGATTGTGGGAAAGGCTGAATATATCATGGTGCATGACTGTGCTGGAGTGTGATTGCACAAGAAATGATGAATATGAGGGACTCTGAGAAGCCTGGGGAGAAATATGAAATAGAGCCAGAGGGAGGAAGCAGAGGCACGAAGCAACGCACACGTGGGCTGCAATGATATAAATGAGAATGACATTTAAATAGAAAGGAGTCTTTGTGGGGGGGGGTGTCTGATTAGTATGAACCAGTTCTGCATAGAGCCTGAGGGTGCACCCCCTTGGGAGAAGGAATAAAATGGAAGTTCCAAGCCTGAGGCCTAGATACCAACTTGAATTGGTCAATCCAACTCCATCCAACTGCAGTGGCCTGTACCCACTGCTCCTACACAGGTGTCAGTGGAAATGACACTGAAGAGGAAGTGCTGTCATCTGCTTTCCCGGTGCACCCTAGGGACCACACAACCATCCCATCTGACCTTAAGCTGAGACCTCCTCTACCAGTTGTCTCCCAGTGAGACACTGGATCTCCTTGGCAGCGAGGACTCTAGCTTTTTTATTCCTGTGTTCATTGCTTTGCCTAGTACTTTGTACATAGTAGGCATTTAATAAATGGCACTTAGTAGGCACGATAAATAAATAAAACAATCAAATTTAAATCAGTTTCTTTTAGAATTTAATTTTATAGTCAATTGTACAGATCTGAAAAATGTGGCAGAGAGATAAAATCAGCTATATATAGTTAGAAAGGTTTCCATTCAAATTCTACCTTCAGTATATACTAACTTGGTGACCTGGAAGCAGCTAGATGGTCCAGTGAATAAAGCACTGGACCTGGAGTCAGGAAGACATGAGTTCAAATCCAGCCTCAAACACTTACTAGTTGTATGATCCTGGGCAAGTCGCTTTGCCCTGTTTGCCTCAGTTTCCTCATTTTTAAAATGAGCTGGAGAAGGAATTGACAAACCACTATAGTATCATCGTCAAGAAAACCACAAATGGAGTCACAAAGAGTTGGACATGACTGAAATGCATGCATACACACACTAACATATATATGATATATACACATTATTACTATATATTATGTATACTATTATATATTTAATTGTGTGTATATATGCATTGTGTGATGATATATGAACCTCTGTGTGTCTGTGTGTGTATACGTGTGTGTGTGTGTGTGTGTGTGTGTGTGTGTGTGTGTGTGTGTGTGTAGGGAGAGAGAGAGCCAGAGACAGAGAGACAGAGAGAGAGGAAGTTCATCTGGTGGAACACGAGTTCAAGAATCACAAGAGAAATAATGAAAAGTGGGAAGGAAGGGAGGTGGGAGTATCAGATTTCAAACTATATGACACAGAAGTAATCATCAAAATGATTTGGTACTGGTTAAAAACTAGAGAACTCAGCTAGTAGAACAGATTAGGTACATAACACACGGACACAAAGGTTCTAGTAGCTTACTGTTCAATAAACCCAAAGACCTTAGCTTTTGGGAGAAGGACTAAAGCAGGATGGGTCAGGACAGAAGTGTCAATCACATACTAATCTGGAGTACTGCCTGAACCAGATTGAAATGTAATGGGGAAATATTTAACAAAATAAATAAAAACACAGTGAAACATAGATAACATTAATATGTGATTTTCTAAGTCAATATGTGGTCCCTTTTTCTGTATGAATTTGGTACCACTGGTTCAGAGTCTAATCTTTAGACCAACATCTCATACCATACATGTTGCTCACTTGACAGAGAGGGGATGAACTCAGAGTATAAAAAGAGTCATCTATCTGTTGGACACAGTCAATATGGGAATTTGTTTTTCTTGACTATGCCTATGTGTTGCGAGGATTTTTTTTTTAAGTGCAGGTTAGGGGTAGGGAAAAAGTGAGATAAAAATAAATGTTGTTAATTGAAAAAAATGCTTTTTCTTTCATTCATTCATTCAATCATTCATTCATTCACCAGATACCATCAAGATATAATAAATGAGGAAATTGAGAGTGAAGAGAATTGTCCAAGGTGACATGTCTACGTGAGAAACTGCTGTCTCCATGAAATCACTTTGTACATTGACCTTAGTTTGTAAGAGATCATTCTAAATGCTGATAATACTGTGATGGGAATCATACGATGATATTACACCATTATTTTGTGCTTGGCTAATAAGACCTTCTAACATTCTGCCCCTTAAGATGAGATTCTTCTGGGCTATAAAAACAGACAACTGTGGTAGCTGGAAAAAACCTGTGGTTTTGGGGGCTCCTCTGAGATCCCTCTGTGTCTCCTGTGGGGTGGGCAATCTTGGCTCTCTGCCTGACTCCTCCTTGCTGCCATCCATACCTGGCATCTATTCTGGCCCCCTCCACGTTCTCAGCTTTCTAGACTCTAAGCTCCCACAGCCAGTTCTTGGAGTCTCCCTGCTTGTGGTATCAGAGGTGGTAGCACCAGTTCAGGCACGGCTAACTGAGAAGCTGCCCCTCCCCATAAAACCCTTGATCCTTCACTTCATCATGGAACCAACCCCATGTGGGAACTGAATGAGTCGCTTATAATCCCTGGCTCCCTGCAACCTACCTCCTCCATGAGGCCTTTCCTTCAATGCATTCTCCCTTCTTCAGTTACATCCACCCTGAAATTCCTTAGTAAGAATTTGGAATAGAGCTTGTATTTACTTCCACTTACATGTTGTCCACCCCTTCCCCAACAGTAGAGTATAAGCTAGGGATGCTAGGTGGCTCCACAGTGTCTACTAGAAAACTAGCATCTGGAGTCAGGAAGACTCATCTTTCTGAGTTCAAATCTGGCCTCAGATACTAGCTGTGTGACCCTAAGCAAGTCACTTGACCCTGTTTGCCCCAGTTTCCTTTTATGTGGAGAAGGAAATGGCAAACCACTCAAGCATCTTTGCCAAGAAAACCCAAACTGAGTCACAGAGTCAGAAATGACTGAACAATAAGAATATAAGCTACTTGAGGGCAGAGGCCAATCCACTTTTGTCTTTGTAACCCCAGCACCTACCACAATGTCTGGTACACAGTAGGTGCTTAATAAATATTTCATGAATTAAATTCAGTTCTGCCCACTGAACTAGGAGTGAGAGGAGATAAAGTGGAGGCAATGGATACAATTAGCCTTTTTCTAGAGTTTGTTGGGCACAAAGCTACTTGAAGAACCAGCATGCACTATGTCCAGAATACGGCTCTTCTAGGACCATTGCCACTTCCTGTCTTCCTCCTGGAGGTCATGGTACCTGAGGCCCAGCAAGCCACTTCTGGCTACTGAGACCTGGTTGTGTCCTGGCCCCTCCTGTGGCTTGGACTTCTACTTGCCATGGGAATGGAGAGGAGCAGATAATTCAGCAGAGCAGAGAATTCCAAATCCAGAAATCACCTCTGGGGCTGACACTTGTACTTTCCCAAATGGGTTTCATGCCTGCTAGTTGTATAGCAAGTTTTCCTCTCCTTCCTACATACTGTGAGTTTCTGGAGGAGAAAATTCAGACAAGTGCTGGAGGGCAGGGAGAAACATAAGTTGGATTAAGCAACTGCCAGGAATTATCAGCTAATCAGCTCTTTGATAGTTAAGAACTGAGTGTACTAGGAACGTGCCTCCATATGTAGCTCTCTCAAAAAGTTTCAAAATACCGACTTGGCAACCAGCTTTAGCAAGTCATTTCTCTGAGGCCTCAGTTTTCACATCTGTGAAATGAGAGAGCTCAATTACACTGTCTCTAAATGTCCCCCAGCACAGACCTATTTTCTCAGCCCCTCCCAGCTCTGCCATACTGTGTTCTAAGATCCCTCCCAGCTCTGCCATCCTGTGTTCTAAGGTCCCTCCCAGCTCTGCCATCCTGTGTTCTAAGGTCCCTCCCAGCACTGACCTATTTTCTAAACCCCTCCCAGCTCTGACATTCTGAGTTCTAAGGCCCCTCCCAGTTCTCCTTTTAGCACTGACTCTGTAGTCTGGGGATCTGGATTCAAATTTCACACTTAATGCCTGGTTGACCTTGAGCAAGTCTTTTGAGCTGCCTAGGCCTCAGTTTCCTCATCTGTAAAATATGGCCTCTGGGCTCCCTTCTAGTTCTAGCTCTGGGATCCCAGTTAGGATCCCAAGTCTTTCCCTTGGCCTATGAAATCAGGCCTCTTTTCCATCTTTTGTCTTAGAGGTCACCCCCCAAACCCAGTGAAAGTTAGGCAGGGCAGAGTGAGACTTTCAGCCAGTTTTCCTGTTAGAGCACTTGGGAAGGGGCGGGCTTAGCAAGCACTCGGCCTCAAAGAATCCCCGCCTTCCTTAAATGAACCTCTCATGGCGTCTCCTAAATGTGCCCTTGTTCTGAGTGGTCTCTTCTTTTTAAAATTACTTTGTTTTCACCCATCTGGATTATTTAATCATCAATTCCTTAGCATACATCAGCTAGTTAGTACATGCTTGTTAATGACTGACTTATTAATGATTGCCTTTTCTAGGTAGATGATGTGTTTCCCAGCACAGTGAAAACTCTGCATTTTTCTTTCCTTTTTTTGTTTTGTTGTCGTTGTTGTTTTTTGACTAGGCAGTGGGGTAAAGTGACTTGCCCAGGGTCACATAGCTAGTAAGAGGCCGGACTTGAATCCTCCTGAATCCAGGGCCGGTGCTCTATCCACTGTGCCACCTCGCTGCCCCTGCATTTTTCTTTTGAGGTCCAGACCTGGGATTTCATTATGGTACATGCTGATTTGGTGTCAGTGGACCTGGGTTCAAATCTCAGCTCTGTCACTTAATACTTGCATGACCCTCCGCAAATAATTTCAGCTCTACCAGCCTTAGGTTCGTGATCTGGAAAATGAAAGAGTTGTACCAGCTCACCTCAGAGGTCTCTTTCAGCTTGCAATCACTGAGCCTGAGATCCCAATATGGAAACTCCATAAACCAATCTAGATAGATGGGCAACTCTTCAGTGGACTGCTCGGAGGGCCTGAGCAGTTACATGATTTTTCCCATCGCCATACAACTACTATGTGTCAAAGGCAAGACTTGAACCTGGGTCTTACTGATTTCCAGGATAGCCCAAGGTCACTGAGCGTGGCAGGAGAAGGCACAGAACTTGAATTTGGGGCTGTTTTCCACTGGACTCATGGGCATCAAAGCTTACCTGTCAGTGTCCTCACTCGGCATGTGTAGGGGGCACTCTCCTTGAAAGGGGTGGGGATAACAATCACGGTGACCCCCTGGTACACTGTGTCTGGAGCCAGGCCAAAGAATTCATATTCTTTCTGCTTCCCTTCAAAGTGCTGCATAAAGTAAAGAAACCGAGGGAGAGAACTTCACCTTATTGATACTCACCAGTGTTTACCTTCACACCCTTTCCACATTACAAAATGTTCTAATACATTTGCTTAAAAAAAGGTCAAGAAACCTTTGTGTTTTGTTTTGTTTTGTTTTCAGCAAGGATTTGAGATTTTGTGGTCTAAGGGACTCCAAGTGAAGAAATTCTCTCCATCAGTGCAGATCGGTACTTATTCTACAAAGTGTAATCTTACAGAACTGTCTGGGAGTCCGAGAGTGTAAGAGACTTACCCAGGGTCATGCAGACAAAATGTGTCAGAGGTGAGTAATAACGATGATAATAATAATAATAGCTATAACAATAACAGCTAACATTTATATAGCACTTTCAGGTTTGCAGAGTACTTTATTTTCTTATTTGATCCCCACAACCATCTTGGGAGGTGGGTGCTATTATTACCTCCATTTTATAGATGAGGAAACTCAGGCAGACAGAGATTAAGTGACTTGCGCCAGGTGACACATCTAGAAAGTATCTGAAGCTGGATCTGAACTGAAGTCTTCCTCCATGGTGCCACCTATCTGCTACCTCCAGGAGAGTATGATTACCCCATTTTACAGATGAGAAAACTGAAGCTGAGGGGTGAGGGATCACCCAGCAAATAGGTGGCAGAGGTAGGTTTCCTGAAAGGTAGGGTGCGCGATGTCCGTGATAGATGGATGTTAGACCTTATGTCAGAAAGATGTGAGTTCAAATCCTGCCCAGTAGCCTGTGTGATCCTGACCAAATCTCTTAACCTCAATATACTCCAGCTCTAAATCTATTATCCTATGACACTTCCCATTCTATCATCCCACTCTTACACTGGCCATTGTACAGAGCCCAAGCTATTTTTATTTTTATTGGTGCCTTTTGTATTTTATTCCCTGTTCCTTTGTAAACACTTCCTTTCTTCTTTCCCTGACTGGTGAGCTTTCCCTAGTAACAAAGACAAAAGAGAGGAACTCTGACCATTCCTGATAGTGTATGTATTATTCCACACCCACAGTCACCCACCTCTCTAAAGAAATTGGGGAGCATTCTCTCAACTCTTCTCCAGGGCCAGGCTGGAGCTCTATCTATTTAATCCCACATTCACTTGAAAAGAAGTCTAGAGTCAGCTTTCAACTGTCCATTTTCAGGGGGATCCAGAGCATAGGTCCCAACGAGGCAATGCCGTACAGCAGAAAGAGCCTCGCCTCTGAGTCGGAGGAGGTGGCTTTAATTTCTGCCTCTGCCACTTACTACATGGGAATTATTAGCAAGTCACTTAACCTGGGCTAAGAGTCAGAAAGAACTGAGTTCAAATCCAGCTGCAGGCACTTACTAACTGTGTGTCCTTGGGCAAGTCACTTAACCTCTGTCTGCCTCATCATCTGTAAAATGAGGATAAGAAGAACACTCACCTCCCAGAGCTGTTATGAGATAAATGGATAATATTTATAAAGCATTTCACACAGTGCCTGGCACAAAGTGGTGCTTAATCTCCCCTCCCCCTCCCTAGGTCTCAGTTTCCTCATCTGTAAAATGGTAGGGTTGTATTGAAAGGCCTCTGAAGTTCCCTATAGCTCTAAGAATCTATGATCCTTTTCCCGGTGAGCTTGGGCAGAAGAGACTCAACCCAAGAACTATGGCAGGAGCCCAGATACAGACCCATTTGGTGGGTGATTTCTGCATTCTGTTATGAACCATGTTGTGCCCAAGTGGAAGAAGCTATCTCAGAAGGTAGTGGGCTTGTTTTCTGGAGGTTTACAAGCAGAGATTGGGGAGTCATTTCTGAGGGATGCTGGGGAAGGGATTCCTGCTCAGGTTGGCTCTGGTTTGAGGACCTCTGGAGTCCCTTTCAAATCCCAGCAGCCATAATTCTAAAGAGCTACCACGTCACCAGTTAATTTTCAGGTCAAGTCTTAATTCTATCTTCTCTCTGGGGAACTGGGAAGAGGGCTTTTTCTGGGACAGGGTGGGTTTAGGGCTTACCATTTGGTAAGTTTGGTTGATGTGCAGTTGAAGGCGATAGAATAGGTCTGGGAATATCTCTTCTAGAGTTTGCTGGTGGCCATCTCTAGTCCAGAGGGCAGTGGGCAAGGGATGCACAACGAGTTTTACAGACCGTACGTTGGGGATGCAGGTCACCAGTGGCGGCTTAATAAGCGCTGATATGGGTGGTGGAAAGAAAGAGGAGAGAGAAAGATGACTGAGCCTGCTCTTCAAGTCCCACTATCATAAGTGCTGACTGTGGCTTTTGCTAAGCAACACAGAGAAGGAAAACCCTACAAAAGCTTGTATAGCTCAATGGTTAGAGTGCTGAGGTTGACACTACAAGGACTGGAGTTCAAATCTTGCCTGTGGTCCTTACTGGGCCTCAGTTTCTTTATATATAAAATGAGAGGGTTTGAACTAGTTGACCTTTGAAATCCCTTCTTGCTCTGTCTGTGATCCTATAACAAAGCAATTAATTTCACCTTTTGGAACCTCAGTTTCCTCATCTGTGAAGTGTGGAGGTTGAATTAGGTACCTTCCAGTTCTAAATCCATGATCCAGAGATGGAGGGAGGAAGGGTGCACAAAGGTCAGGAGAAGTAGATTTTAAATGTTAAAAACTGCTGTAGTGGGATAGATTAGATGAAATAAAGGGTCCCTTTGTCCCCAACTCAGCTCAAAGCCTGGTGCTGTCCTGGGTACTGAACTCTTCTGTCCATCCCCTCCCCCTCAGAAAAGGAGCTGTCCTTACTGTCTCGGCAGGCACTGAACCTTGTCGTCTGCCTCCACTCCACAATGTCTCCGTGGCCTTGGCTAGAAGCCATCACCTTGGCAAAGTACTGCTCCTCGGTGTCTCTCGTCTCGTAGGTCAGGTTGCACGATGTCTGAGTAATGTTCTGACACTCGGCCTTGGGCTTCCATTTTGGGTCTCCGTACCTATAGGGCAGGCCAAGAGGAGAATAAGAAGGAATCCCTTCAACTTCTGAGCTGACTCCATCTCCCTGTGATGATGATGATGATGAGGGAGCAAAGAGGGGAGGGAATGACAGAGGCAGCAAATGGACAGTTGGAGAGTTGTGGAGAGCAGAGCTATTACCTGGCCCCACCCTTGCAAACAAGTACACCTCCCAGCCCGGTCTGCCCGAACAAGCCAGCCCAGAACTTTCACCATAGAATCAAATCAGAATCACAGAATTTAGAGTTGGAAGAGATCCCACAGGCCATCCCTGGGCCATCACATACCTAATAAGAGTCTCCAAGTATGTGAAATTGTATTCTTGCCCACCTCCCTCATAGTCTTTATCCCCAGCAAAGAGTTTCAAGAAGTAACTTGAGGTGGGGCTGTCTTAAACAGGAGTCACTCAGTCTGGGTTCCATATTCTCTCTGCTCTTTTCTCCTCACCTTCAGCTGTGTCCCACATACAGATCCCAGTACTGGGAACGAAGGGGTCAGCCAGAAGAAGGAGAAATGATGGCTCACCTCAGGGAATTCCTGAGTGAGGGGGAAGGTGGGGGGAAGATGCTTTTAAGGAGCTCCCAGTCTGAGGGGGCAAACAGAAAAGTCCTTGTCTTTATGGAACCCCCAATCTGAGGAGAGAGGCACAATATTTACCTTCAGGGAGCCCCTGACTGAGGAAAAACACAGTCCCTGCCCTCAGAGAGCCCCCTCCAAGAGGGCCATGGCCCTTGATCTCTAGGAACCCTGGTTTGAGGAGGGAATCAGTCTCTGACTTTAGAGTCCTCTGAAGGTGGAGATATAGTTCCTGGCCTTGGGGAGAGTCCAGTCTGACTCAGAGAGGTGCAGGCCTGCCATCAGGGCATGTGACTATACCTTTTATACTGCACACTGTAGACTGTGTCTGCAGGGCTTCCCTGAACACTGTCCCATTTCAAAATGTTTTCAAAGTTGCTTGAGTGGAACATCAGGTTTTGAAGAAGCTTGGGATTCTCCTCTGCGATGTATGCTGGAGGGAAGGTCAGAAGCCAGTGAACCAGGAGGCTCCCAGACCCCTATCCCCACCCCCCAAGTCAGCATTGCCCACTGCCCACAGCCCACTGGCCACTGCCCTGACATGGCCTGGGGGCTGTGACCCTCAGGCAAAGGGCAGACATAGCCTTTTGAGCCAGGAATGTGGGAAGCAAGGATGGGATCAGCCCAGTAGCATGAAGGTATTGAAGAGAAAGGCCTTCCTCTGACTGGGTGACACTCAATGGGAATTAGCAGAAAGAACATTGAACTGGGAATTGGAAGGTATGAATTTGAGTCCAAGCTCTGCTATAGACTTTGTCTGTAGCTTTAGGTTGGTGAGTTCTCCTCTTTTAACCTCTGTTTTCTTATCCATTTTAAAAGTAGAGGTGTGTTGGGGAATGTGGCAAGGATAGACCAATAACAGCTCACATTTCAATAGCTTGAAGGATTACAAAGTTTTCTTTACAACAGCTCTGTGAGATAGGTAGTGCCAAATATAATAGGAACATTAGTTTTAGGGTTGATGGTGTCTGGAAGTGGGGTGGAATTGAATAACCAAGATACCTGAGTTCAGGGTTTGGTTCTACTGCTGTGATCCTGGGCAAATTACTCTATCCTTAAGTTTCCTCCTCCTCTAAAATGAGAATCCCTTCTAGAGCTCATATTTTTTTTTTGTTTTAAGGTCAAGCCCTTTCCTTATTCTCCATTTGTTAGTTCCCTTATCCCATCCTGCCCATCCCACCTCCAATCCATCTCACCCCACCTCAACCCACCCCATCCTATCCTATCCTCTCCCATCCCATTCCATTTTATCACTGGACCTATATTCTCATTAGGATAAGGGTAGGACCAGGTGAGGATACCCTTTATCAAAGTAGGTTGGTACCTTTTCTGCAGCTTATAGTCTTAAGAAGTTTATTGGCACTGAGAGGTTAAGAGATCTGCTTCTCTTTCTTTTGTATGTATCCCTGTATTTACTCATCAGTGAATAGTATCTTCCTAGTATTCTTGAAGGCAGGGACTATCTTACTTTTGTGTCTCTGTGTGGGCAGTTAATCAGGACTTATTGATTGAATGATTAAGATCCCTACTAGCTCTGATGTTCTGTGTCCCCGTGACCTTTGTAGGGGGAGAAGAGGATCACCTAGGGGCAAGTGACATGGAGTTCCAAGTATGTGTGTGGGAAATTATAGGGGATGCCTAGGACTGGTAGTTCTATTTTGTGGTCTAGCCTTCGGGGGTGAAGGCATAGGTGCTGTATGGAGGTAGAAGAAACTTTTCTCTAATGAAGAAGGTCCTTGACTCTGTTCCTTTCCTTTATCTTACTACTTGGGGCAGGGATAGGGCAGAGGTTGAATGAGGACATGAAAGGGGAATGAAAGATAAAGGCTACCTGTCCAGGTTCCGGGAAGCCCTCCTTCCTCCCCAGAAATGCTTGGGAAAGGACTGTATGCTATGGAGAGGAAAGATGAGGGAATGCTGTAGCCTGAGAAATGCCCCAGAGAAGGAACTAATTGGATTCTGCTAGGCTTAATGAGGCAATGATTGGTGGCTTCCTGGCGAGATGGAGAATAATTGTTGTTTGTCCTTCATTCTCCAGGAGGACCATGACATCAGGAAGGTGATGCCATAATTTGCAAGTGAATTGATGGAGAACAATAATTCAATGTAGTAGCTCTTCTCTGAGTTAGAGCAAAGCTAGTATCAGTCTGTGTATTTGTGTTCAGTAACTTCTCCAACCCACTGCCCCAACCCCCTACATTGACATTAGTTTAGCCTAGCCGCCAGTACAGTGAGTTTGGGGATTGGGTTGGGGTGCTCCCAGCCCAAGGACTTTCTTCTCCTGGGCTTCTGTGAGTCCTAAGTCTGGATAGGGCTGGCTGCTTCCCTGGAAATTCATAGAAACATTCGGTAAGCATTTGCCAAGTGGTAACTTCATAGGAGCAGAGAGCCTAGAGCTAGAAGCAACCTCAGAAGTCACTTGACAGATGAGGAAGCTGAGGCCCAGAGAGGTACAGTGGTTTCCCCAAGGCTGAACTCAGGCATATAGCAAGCTGGGAGAGTGGACAGAGTGTGATATTTGAAGTTAGGAAGCTCTGAGTTCAAATCTTGCTTCAGACATTAACTAGCTAGTGTATCTCACTTAGCCTCTGTTTCCTTATCCATAAATGAGGACAGTCCCTATCAGACCCAGAATACAAGGCTGCATTTCCTCTTTATCCCCATTTATATTTTGCCCAAATCTATTATCTGCTTCTCAGAATGATAGGATTTCCACACTTCTCCAAAGGCAAGTTGTATATTATGAAATCCTGACTGGAAAATACATTGCTTAGCTGGAAATCCTGGATTTTTAAGAAATGAAAATTTCCTTGATTTTAACTTTACTCAAGACTCTATAATTATTTTATGTCATATGTTAAGTGAATATCTATCTATCTATCTATCTATCTATCTATCTATCTATCTATCTATCTATCTATCTGTCTGTCTGCCTGTCTCTCTGTCTATCTATCTATCTATCTATCTATCTATCTATCTATCTATCTATCTATCTATCTATCTATCTATCAGTTGCCTCCCATATTCCAGGCACTGTGCTAGATGAGAACACAGACTAGAGTGGAACAGTCTCTGCTCTCAGGAAGCTTAAATTGAATCTTGAAATGTTTGCTCCAGCAAATTTCAGCCCAGGATCTCCTCTAGAGCTTCAAGTGCTGTGGTCAGCCTGAGGGCATCCTTCTTCCTAAAGCATCAGGATCAGGAGTTGCTAAGGCCCCTAGTGGTGGAGACCCAAGGAAAAGAGGATAGGAATTTACAGTGAAAGGGACATTAGTGATCATCCAGCTAGATAATACAGACTTATTATTGGAGTTGAGAAGACCTGAGTTTGAATCCTGCCTCAGACACTAGCTAGATAAGACACTTAATCTCTTTCAGCCTCAGTTTCCTCATCTTTAAAATGGGGATACTATTAGCACCTTTCTCCCAGGGTTGTTGTGAGGATCAAATGAGCTGATATTTTTAAATCGCTTTGCAGACTTTGAAGTGCCATATCAATGCTATTGTTAATATTATTATTGTATCATAGACTTTAGAGCTGGTAGGGACCACAAGTTGATCCAGTCCAGCAGTCATGTTTTACAAATGGGGAGACTGAGATGCAGCGAAATGAAGTGATGGGCCCAAAGTCACAAAAGTAGCCAGTTGAAAGGTTAGGATCTGGACCCCCAGCTCCCACAGGTCACAGATAAGCAAACTTCGGACCAGAGAGGGAAAATTACTTGCCTTAAGGTCACAGGTACTAAGTAGTGGAGTCAGCAACCTGACTTCTCCAGGACCACTGACTCTATCAAAGCCAGGGCTTATTCCACATGATAGCCAATAGCTGCTGCCAGCCTCTGTCTGTGGGTCTTCAGAAATAAGCCAAATCCTGCCAACCTCCCGAAGACTGGGATTCCCAGCCCTCTCCCTGAGGCTGTTCAGGGGCAGGAGTGGGAGGAGGTATGAAAGCAGTTCCTTTGAAGTGGATGGTCTAGTCAGCACTTGTCGGGGCTTCCGAGAAACTCTTCTCAGTGGATTTTATCAGCCTCTTTCCTAAGTGGGGTTGTAAGGGACCATCCCCCTGTCTCTGATCAGGCACATGCCCCTCCCCCAAACCCTAATATTCTAACACTCTATGACTTTCATTTAAACAGAGGCCTGACCTGGTACATTGTGATTCCTTGTTGAGTCAGAGAAGAAGCCCTGGGTCTGGAGAGAGAGGACCTAAGATTCAGTCTCAGCTCTATTATTTAAAACTGTGTGACCTTAGACAAGTCACTTTATCTCTGGGCCTCAAGTTTCCACATCTGCAAAATGGGGAGCTATTGAACTAAATTATCCCTGAAGTTGGCTCTACATCCTATGCTCCATCTTTCATTAAGTTCTTCCTAATTTCTACATAAAATACCACTGCCACCAACACTTTCTTTGAGTTTGTGCTCAGAGCATATATACCCCATTATGGCTGAAACAGTCTTTGTTTCCCCTTTGCCTTCTCTTCTCCTGGGAAAGGAGGTCCGATCTCTCTCAGGACAAATGAATGAATAAAACCTTCATGTGCCATCTCACACACAGGGTGGTTGTGAAGACAGAGCCCTCTGCAACCCTTCAAGGGTACAAATGTGCATGCTATGATTTTTAATCCCACATGACAAGGGCAAGGACGGGGGTATAAGAGGTGGACAAAGTGTAGCTATAGCTTTCCCTCCCTCCCCTCTCCTCCCTTCCACTACCATGTGGCCTGGGGATGAGGTGGAGGACCCCTGCTGCCTGGAAGCAAAGGGAGAGAGAGAGACAGAGAAAGACAGAGAGACAGAGAGGCAGAGGGACAGAAAAAGAGAGACAAAGACAGGGAGAAAGAGAGAGACAGAGAGAGAGAGAGAGACAGAGAGAGAGAGATGAGATAACCAGAAAGATTGGGGCTTCATAGAATGCTCAGGACCTCTGGGCCAAGCTCCCCCTTTCCAGATGCTATCACTCAAGGCAGAAAGAGAAAACCAAGGCTAAAGCTTTAACCCCTCCCCACTTTGCCTTAGTTGTCAGTTCATTTCTTTCCTGAGGAGAAAACCCTTTTAGGAGGGATTTATATATGTATTATACACATTATATATGTATTGTATACATATACACATATATTATATATGTATTATATACATATATAAAGTGTCATGCATATATATGCTCAACATACTTTAAAATATATGTATATGTACATATTTCCTTTACATTATGTTATAGACATATAAATATATATGCACAACACATTTAAAATATATATTTATATAAATATATTTATATTATACAAATGTATTGCACATACATATATACAAAGTTTGTCATGCATATATATGACACACTTTTAAGTTCAATCCATATTATTATCATTTCCCCCATCAATCAACAAAACAATAAACAAAACAAATTAAGCCTTGATTTGTAGTATTTGCCAGTCTCCAAGATGTAAATGCTCACACCGGAACTTCCACCATCAGCTCCCCTGTGCTGGTTAGAGCTTGTTCCAACAGCTCCCTGACAAGGGGTGAAAGACCCATGGGGCCATTTCCCCTTCTAACCATATTGCTAAGCTCTCTTCCCACTCTGCCATTCAGGGATTATGTGCAAAGGTCACTTCATGACTTTAGTACTGGAAGGGACCTTAGCGATCATCTAGTCCAATCCCTTCATTTTTTCAGTTAAGGAAACTGAGGCCCAGAGAAGATAAGGGATTTGTAGATCGCACAGCTGGTAAGGAGGAACATGGAGTATTTGAATGCAGGTTCTCTGACTCCAAACCCAGTGCTTTTATCAGAAAAAAACAAAGCAAAACAAAACTGAAAGCCATAGTAATTCCTTGTTAAAGTTGGAGGAGGGAGAAAAGCTCTCTCTGCTCTCTCTGACTCCAGGGAAGAGAAAGAGGGTCTGGCCATGGGGCACTGGGGAAACTCACCATTCAGGATGCTGATGGCTAGGATAGCTAGTAACCACTTCATTGGGTCCCCTGGAAGAGGAGAGTCAGGGAAAGGGCCTTGCCTCTTCTTTCTTCACTTTGCTCTTCTTCTCTCCTTTCGTCAAGTCTCCTCTTCTCTCCCTCTCTCTCTTCTCTTCTCTTCTCTTCTCTTCCTCTTTTTCTCTTCCTCTTCTCTCTCCTCTTCTCTTTTTCCTCTTCGTCCCCTCTCCTCTTCTCTTCTCTTCTCTTCTCTTCTCTTCTCTTTCTCTCCTCTCTCCTCTTCTTCTCTTCTCTCTTCTCTTCTCTTTTCTTCTCCTCTTCTCTTTTTCCCTCCCCTCCTCTCCTTTTCCCTCCCCTCCTTTTCCCTCCCCCTCCCTCTCCCTCCTCCTCCCTCCTCTCCTCTCCTCTCCTCTCCTCTCCTCTCCTCTCCTCCTCTCCTCTCCTCTCCTCTCCTCTCCTCTCCTCTCCTCTCCTCTCCTCTCCTCTCCTCTCCTCTCCTCTCCTCTCCTCTCCTCTCCTCTCCTCTCCTCTCCCCTACCCTCCCTTCCCCTCTTTTCCCCTCCCCTCCTTTCCCCTCCCCTCCTTTCCCCTTCCCCTCCCCTCCTCTCCTCTCCTCTCCTCTCCTCTTTTATCCTCCTTTTCTCTCTTTGCCTCTCTTCCGCTCAACTGTTGGAGTGTTCATGGTGAGGGTGGGGAAGCCTTGGTGCCCAGACAGTCTGTTCCACCCCAGGCCTAGCACTGGGGGAGGGAAGTAGGGAAAGGGCAGGGCCAGTGGGGGAGGGTGGAGCCATGCCCAGGGAGAAGCAGGTGTCCAAAGGTGCTGGACTGAGCTGTCAGGAATGTAGGTGCCCTGGCTGACAGCCGAGGGAGGTCCTTGACTGCTGGTACAGAGCAGCCGGTTTTTCTCGATTCTGACTTCATGCTCCATTCATGGTTGGTCAGTTAGTCAGTCAGTCATTCAATAAACATGTATTAAGTGTTTGCTATATGTCAAGCACCATGCTAAATGCTGGCAAGAAAGGCAAAAGATAGCCTCTCCTCTCAGGGACTTCTTGAATGAATGAGACAACAGACAAACAAGAAGTAGCTAAAATAAATTGGAGATAACCAACAGAAGGAAGGCACTAGAATGAAGAGAAGATAGGATTTGAACTCTGTGCCAAAGCAGGAGGTAGAAATGAGGAAGGAGTGCATTCCAATCATAGCAGACCACCAGTTGGGAGATGGAATGTTTTGTGCAAATTGCAGCAGGGAAGCCAGTGTCACTGAATCCAAGGGTAGGTCCATGGAGGGGAACAAAGTATAAGAAGACTAGAATGGTTAAGGGATAGAGATTATGGAAAATGAAATGGGATTTTTCATTTGATCTTGGAGGTGATAGGGTGCCACTGGAGTCTATTGAGTAGGGGGGAGTGACATGGTCAGAAGATCGCTTTGAGGGGGCAGCTAGGTGGCACAGTGGATAGAGCACCTGCCCTGGAGCCAGGAGGACCTGAGTTCAAATCCAGTCTCAGATCAGACACTTGACACTTACTAGCTGTGTGACCCTGAGCAAGTCACTTAACCCCAATTGCCTAAAAAAACCCCAAACAAACAAAAGATCACTTTGACAGCTGAGTGTAATGGACTGGAGTGAGCCAAGGCTTGAGGCAAAGAAAGCAGCCGGCAGGTTATTGCAGCAATCCAGGCATGGGGCAAAAGGGGCATGAACTAGAGTGGTAGCAGCATCAGAGGAGAGAAAGGATCATATTGGGAGATACTGCAAAATTAACAGGCCTTGGCAAAATACTAAATATGGGGGTGGGGTGAGGGAGCAGGAGGATTCAAGGGTAACTCCTAGGTTACAAGCCTGGGAGACTGGGAGGATGGTGGTAGCCTTGATAGCAGTAGAAGAGGCTATTTTTTGGGGGAAAGATAATTAGTTTAGTTTCGGGTATGTTGAGTTTAAGATGTCCATTGTGTTGTTGTTCAGTCATTTCAGTCATGTCCGACTCAAATTGAATTTAACTCAACAAACATTTATTAAGTACCTACTGTGTGCTAAGCATTGTGGTAGGTGCTGGGGTTACAACAACAAAAGTAGAATGCACTTTGCCCTCAAGTAGCTTATACTCTTGCTGTTCAGTTGTATTTTACTCTTCATGACACCATTTGGTGTTTTCCTGGTTGCCATTTCCTTTTCTAACTCATTGTACAGATGAGGAAACTGAGGCAAATAGGGTTAGGTGACTTGCCCAAGGTCAAACAGCTAGTAAGTATCTGAGCTCAGATTTGAACTGAGGAAAATAAGTTTTCCTGACTCCAGACCCAGCACTCTATGCACTATGGTGCCACCTAGCTAGCCATAAAGGAGGCGTAAAAAGATTGCCTTGTTGCAGTGAGGGCCCAGTTGAGATTGTGCAACATAAATTTCTGCTGGATCCAATCAGCATGATTTCACAATTTTCTCCAGCTTTGTTTGGAAGCACATGAGTAAGAATGAAGACAGCAGATAATAGTAGTAACCCAGTGTTGAGCCTTGGCAGGGCAAGATCAGTGATAGGGCAAAGGATTCAAAAGAAGGAGGTGTAGGGTTCTGCTAGGAAGCCACAAAGGGAAAGCAAAAAGAGTATAACAGCGTAAGGGTGATTACCTGGGAAAAAACAAAAGGGTCAAGGTCTCTGTAGGTGTGAAGGACAGGGTTAGGGATGACAAGGCAGAAGGAGAAGTGGAATATCAATGATCATCCAATCAGCATGATTTCACAATTTTCTCCAGCTTTGTTTGGAAGCACATGAGTAAGAATGAAGACAGCAGATAATAGTAGTAACCCAGTGTTGAGCCTTGGCAGGGCAAGATCAGTGATAGGGCAAAGGATTCAAAAGAAGGAGGTGTAGGGTTCTGCTAGGAAGCCACAAAGGGAAAGCAAAAAGAGTATAACAGCGTAAGGGTGATTACCTGGGAAAAAACAAAAGGGTCAAGGTCTCTGTAGGTGTGAAGGACAGGGTTAGGGATGACAAGGCAGAAGGAGAAGTGGAATATCAATAGAGTGTGATCATATAAAGGAATTTCAGAGTTAATAAATATGGAAATGGAATACTTGTGAGTGGTGGCAAGATCTAGCATATGCTTATCTCTGAGTGTAGTTGGTTAGGAGGTCATAGGGAATGAGCAAGTTGAGGAATTGTGAGGCAAGGGTGATTGAGGAAATACCAAAATCGATGTTGAAGTCTCCTGAGTATGAGGGCAGGAGTTGGGGAGGAGAGAAAGATTGAAAGGTGATCCAGGAACTCATTGAGGAAAGAAGAATGACCTGGAGGCCCTTAGATAACAGCTACCAGAATTTTGATGATGTGGTAGATAGGGAATGACTAAACCTTAAGGGAGAAGTTACTTAATGATGGTGACAGAAAGTCTTATGCTTGGAAGTGGGAATGGGGAGCAAGGTGTATATTCACTCTTCCACTTTGACTAGCAAGAGGGAATGAGTGAAAATGTAACCAGCGCTAGAAAGGGATGCTGTGTCATTAATATGGAGCCAACTCTCAATGAGAGCCAGAAGATGAAAGGAGCGGGAAAAGACAAGATTTTAAGATCAAAGTGAATTTGCTGTGGTGGATGAGCAGAATAGATCAGGTACACAAGACACAGCAGTAAATGACCAGAGCGATGTAGTGTTTGAGAGCCCCGAAGACCCCAGCTTTTGGGACAAGAACTTATTATTTGACAAAAACTGCTGAGAAAACTGGAACAGAGTATGGCAGAAACTACGTATAGACCAACATCTTGCACCATATACCAAGATAAGGTCATGATTTAGACTTAAAGGCTGATACCATAAGGAAATTAGGAGAGGAATAGTTTACACATCATATCTATGGAGAAATGGACCAAACAATAGATAGAGAGCATTACAAGACGTAAAATGTATAATTTTTATTATACTAAATTAAAGTGTTTTGGGACAAACAAAACCAGTGCAACCAAGATTAGAAGGAAAGCAGATAATTTTTATAGCAAGGAAACAATTTTTATAGCAAGTGTCTCTGATAAAGACCTCATTTCTTTTTTTTTTTTGTAAATTTTTTATTTAAACTTAAATGCATAAGAAAAGAAAAAAAGAAACAAATTTAAATACTAAAACTTAAATATGAAATAAGAAAAGAAAAATAAACGTTGCCATGTGCATAGCAGATCAGAAGAGAGGATTCAAAATATAAAGCAATACATTTCTATTTCAAGAAAGCCTATATATAAAAATACTACACATTGTGTTCCAAACTGTCCACTCATTTCTTAAATGTATAGAGAGCTGAGTCAAATTTATAAGAATATAAGTCATTCCCAAATTGGTAAATGGTCAAATGATATAAACATGCAGTTTGCAGTTGAAAAAAAATCAAGGCTACATATAGACATATAAACAAATACTCTACATCACTTTTAATTAGAGAAATGCAAATTAAAACAACTCTGAGGTACCATCTCATACCTATCATATTGGCTCATATGATAGAAAAGGAAAATGATAAATGTTGGAGGGGATTTGGGAAAATTGGCAAACTAATGTAACATTGGTGGAGTTGTGAACTGATCCAACTATTCTGGAGAGCAATTTGGCACTATGCCCAAAGGGTTATAAAACTTTAATCCAGCAATACCACTACTAGGTCTATATCTCAAAGAGATCCAAAAAAGGGAAAAGGATCTATTTATACAAAATATTTATAGCAGCTCTTTTTGTGGTGGCAAAGAATTGGAAATTGAGGGGATGCCCATCAATTGGGGAATGGCTGAGCAAGGTGTGGTATATGAATGTAATGGAATACTATTGTGCTATAAGAAAAGATGAGCAGGATGATTTTTTAAAAACCTGGAAAGACTTACAAGAATTGATGCAAAGTTAAGTGAGTAGAGCCAGGAGAACATTGTACACAGTAACAGCGACATTGTACAATGCTGAACTATGATTGACTTAGCTCTTGGACTCAGCAATACGATGATCTAACACAACTCCAAGAGACTCATGATGAAAAATGCTATCCACCTTCAGAGAAAGAATTCATTCAGACTCTGCATCTGCATGCAGAGTCTGAATGCAGATCAAAGCATATTATCTTTTGCTTTATTTTTTTTCATTTTCCCCCCCTTTTGTTCTGTGTCTTCTTTCACAACA